AGTGCTATTTTTGATGTGATATTAAAGATATGAGTTTTATGTGTGTAAATAAAAAAATTCGGTGTGATATGTGTAAATACATAAGAATTGTTTACTATGTATCTAAATCCCAAATTCTTAATTCTCATATTTTATTTGCTGCAGTATAACTAACCATGTATTATTGACATACAATTCTTTTCATTTTATTTGTGGCATGTTCACTTGCCATGTGCCATTTTCAGCACGTAATTTCTCTATTTTACCCTTGCCAGGATATGAAACAGGCGTATTTGAAGAAGATAACTATTTTCCAGCCGAGCTAGTCAGTTCATGGTCATCATTTTGTAGCGTTGGACTATATCATTGCTACAAGATTTCTATGAGTTCAGTTGACTTAGAAAATTTCAAGGGAGAAATATTACTTGTTGTAAAGTGTGATCTAGGATCTGATTTTTGTTCTAATTCATTTAATTTTGAGACTTCTCAAGGTTCTGTCATAGTAGAAGTTGATTATTTTGGCTCTATCCATCTTGATCGTGATCAGGTAAAATATTTCAAACAATTTGTTAATGTGATTCACAAAATCATCTTCCTTTTCTAATGCCTTGAAACTCTTTTTGAGCAGTTTCCCTGTTGAGCCTTTTTTCTATGCTTAGGATTTTTTATTTTTTTGCACTAACTTAGCATTTACCTTGTGGTCCAGGTGGTTAGAGCTCGAAGGTTTCAGGTCTCTGTTCTCAGTCTTTTGATTGATCAAGATTATGATAAATTCTTGAATGCACTTCATGTATGCATGGAGAATGCTTTTGAAGCAGTTGTTTATTTACTCATTCCTTCGGTCCTTGGAGGTATTGACTGGGGCTGTGTGAATTCACCTACTTTCTTTGTGGAGAATGGAATGCAGCATCCCAAGCGCTGCTGTTGTAAGAAAAGTGTGGCTCAGTTGATACAGATTAAGAATAGCTGCATTTGCCGTTGTATGTTGCATCATTCTGTTGTTTATACACCTCACAATGAACACATATATTGCGTCACCGGTATTCTGGATGAAATGGATATGAATTCATCTTTTAAGTTGAGAAATGGACAGATCACTACATATAGCAAATACTTCCT